TTGCACTTTTTGAGACTATTTTAGAATTTCTGGATACTAGAGATAAAATTTTAAAAGAAAATTTAATGAAGAGAAAAACAACAACAAGGCGACAGTTTAAATTTGACTAAAACAAAGTCCATCTTATCAGCGTTTCTTGCCAACTAATGAAGCAAAATATTGGACGGGGAAATTTTCTCAGTTCCCCAATTTGTCACAGACAAGCTGCCAGGAAGACGACGTTTCAACTTACGTTCAACATTTAAATGCCCTCTATTCAGATTTCGAATCTAGGTTTGAGGATATTTTGACTATGGTAATACACCGTGGATAATTAATCCATATGGTGACATAGAAGAAACGAATGTCATAATACAAGAGGAACTGACTGAACTAAGTACAAACGAAGAACTTAAAGTTCAGTTTAAAAACGGATATCAGCAATTCTGGCTGCAAAACAACATACCCGTTACTTATCCCGTATTATGGAATATAGCGAGGAAATTTTTAATTTCCTTTACATCGTCATACCTAGTGGAAAGGGGGTTCAGCGCTGTTACCAATCTCCTAACGAAAAAAAGAAACAGACTGGACATCATTAGCCGAGGAGATTTAAGATTAACCCTTACAAAATTGACGCCAAATGTTGATAATTTATTATTAAAGCATCAGGTTCATCCTTCTCACCAAAAATATTGACTTATTGCTTATGTTATTTTATTTATAGTTTATTGGTGTCTGACCAACAAATTCCCGCATTGGGAATAAATGCCCGCATTGATTTTTTTAAACAACCCCCTTTATAGAAAATTTTTTTTAAATTATTCTGAAAATTCAAGGATAGGTACACACTAAAATTCTTTAATTTTTTGCCTATTTTTAGATAACTTAAACGTATAAGAAGCGGAATTTAATCAAACTAACAGTGAAATTATTGTAGAACATACGTTTATGTTATAATTAATAAACGAACTCTCTTATTGTACTATTTTAAGTAAAAAACTTTTTTTTATTATTTTTAACTTTTTTTAATTTTATCCCTCTTATTTTTTTTTTCAATGCGGGCACTTATTCCCAATGCGGGCACTTATTGGTCAGACACCTGTTTATTTAATGTTACGTATATTTTACATAACAGATACAAAATTTTATTTTGAGTAGTTTTAATTTAAAGTCAATTAATAAATGTATAAATTAACATGTGTTTTTACTTAAGTTTTTAACACTATACTTCACTACAGTTAGAAATTTACAGTAAATCAATATCAGGTAAGTAGGAGGTCTACCCAACCCGGAAAAACATGGCAAGGGGTCTACGACACAAAAAAGTTTGGGGAACTCTGGCATAGACCAACGTCTTGATGTAGCCCCAAAAGAATAAATCTGATGAACGAGGCGGCCATTCGACAGGTAAATTTCGCGAAATAATGCGACTTCCAAACGTCGTCTTCAATAAATGGATTGTTTGACCAGCTGTGTGACATGTGGCACCGTCTTGTTCGAATCACATATCACTGATCATCTAATTCCTGCCAAAAATAATCTTCCAACATGCCAAAAATACGGTCCAATCACACCACCAGCATGAAAACCACACCATACTGTGATTTTTTGCGGATGCAATGGTTTGTCTTTGAGCAAATGTGGGTTTGTTGCTGTCCAATAACGCATACCTATTTTGCTTATTGACAAAGCCGTTGAGCCAGAAATGACATTCATCGCTAAAGATGATCTTGCGATGAAATTCCGGATTTTCTTCAAACTTTTCCAGAGCCCATTCGGAGAAGTTACGACGCTTTAAATGGTTAAGTGGCTTCAGTTCTTGAGTTATTTTGGTCTTATAGGGATGAGACCAAAATCTTTCTGCAAAATACGCCACAATGTGGTCTGAGAAGTGCCCAAATCCTGTGAACGGGCGTGGAATCGACTGATTTGACTCATTTCGCACTGAAGCACTTACGGCTGCGATATTTTCTTCGCTTCGAGCGGTTCGGCATCTCAATGCACAGGCACATCCAGTAGCAAATACTGAGATTCAAACATATTCACAATGGCACGCACAGCTTGTCTGGTGGGACGATGTTCACGACCGAAAATAAATTGGAGTTAGCACTCTTAAAGTTCAACCACTGACTCAGAATTCCGGTAGCGATTTTTTTAATTACTTCCAAACGATGCTCGTTCGTATACCTCACCATGATCAAAATGTAAGCTTTGTATGACGTTTTAACATCGACAGAACTAAAAAATTATTTATGGGTGCGTTCATATAAAAGTACGAAATTGTTATGTTCCTATTGAAAAACCCATTATAATATACTAATAATCAATTTATTCCAATCGACCAAATGCATGGCATAGGAAACGTCGATATACACACTCAAACTATTACTGAGAAAAGAGGTTGGCTTGCCAGCCTTAACGTCACTGCGACCAAGTGGATTTATTGTGACCCCCCCATATACTTTCTAAAGTACTGTATATGTCATTTCTCCCACGCCTTCCTTTCTGGTACTATTGTTTCATTGTTTCATAGTTTTTGCGAAATTGTACCTGGAACAGTTGTGTCCGTGGGCATTACCAATATAGAATCTGCCTTCAACTCGATGCGCAGTTTTTGATAGTCTTTTCCGTGCTGCCGACTGATCGGTGATTGGCCTTGAGTTAGTCTGTGAGCCACGGAAAGAGCATTACCCTGAATAAATATGTGTGATGGCGATAGGTCAAGAAGGACCTCCAACCCTGCAGCCGTGGCGCATCAAGCTAGCTAGCCTCTGTACGTCACTTAATAGCCTCACCGCTCCCCGGCTGTGTATTCTTTGTCCACCATGTCACTGATCCATAGGTTATCATGCCTCAACGATAGTATACATATAATTTTACAAAAGAGTAATGTAGAATATGATTACAAGCTACTTCAGAGCACAAAACATTGCAGAAGAGGTCTAACAGCTCACCTTCAAGATCCCTGAAATTTCCAACACAACACACTGTACAAAGGCTTATTCAGGAAGT